TCGTGTTTGGATGGTCCAGTGTTTGTATAGTTGCACATCTGCAAAGCTACGTGTTTGAACAGTTATGAGTTTGGATAATTACGCATTTGGATAGTAATGCGTTTGGATAGTTTGCCGTTTACATAATTACGTGTTTAACGTTGTTACACGTTTGTGTAGTTACGCATTTGGGTAGTTATGTGTTCGGATAGTTATGCGGTTAAATAGTTATGTATTCAATAATTGGGATATTTACGTGTTTGGATAGTTGCGCGTTTGGATAGTTACGTGTTTGAATAATTAAGGGTTTGATAGGTATTTTCGTATTTGCGTATATTACGTATTGCAATTTATGTGTATTGCCATTTTGTATGTTACGTATTGCATATTAATTTACGCAAATGCGTAAATTAATTATTTGCAAAGTTGCATGTTTAAACAGTTATAAGTTTGGATAGTTAAGCATTTGGATATTAATGCGTTTCAATAGTTCGGCGTTTACATAATTATCTGTTTAACTGTTACACGTTTGTGTAGTTACGCATTTGGGTGTTCGTTTATGTGTTCGGATAGTTATGCGGTTAATAATTGGGATAGTTACGTGTTTGGATAGTTACGCGTTTGGATAATTACGTGTTTGAATAATTATGACTTTGATAGGTATGCTGGATGGGATTCGACGTTTGAGCTGCAAGACATTCGGACAGCAAGCATTCGCACAGATTCGGGCGACCTGGCACGAGGCGGGAGGGCGTTTAGGCGAGGGCGGGCGGGTCGTGGCGCGGCGCGGCGCGGCCGCAGCCACCGTCGCCGCTCGTCCATCACGCGAAGGCCCCCGCGCTGCCGAGGCGGCTGCAGGCGCAACGGGGTCGCGGCCGCGGGGATGAGGTGCGTGACGGCGCGGCGTCGCTTTCCTCAGTCACGCCCGCTTTCGGGACGCGATCTGGATGGGCGCAAAAGTACAACAAAGCCCCGTGGCGCAACGCAGCGTTGTCAAAGTCACATTCGAACCTCCTTCACCCGCCGCTGAAAGAACTTGCAGTCGGGTAGTTGACGTATGAAGAGGACACTAAGTGTGAATGGGAGGAATTAGCTTTGCTATTCGTCGGTCTACACTTGAAGCAAATATTTTTAGTTGTCATTCAAACACTTTTTTGCAACGCACACGATTTGTGGGTAGAGAATGATGTATGTGAAATGTTCTTTTCATCTAATGTAAAGCTGGTCATTGTAATGTTATAATAATATCAATTTGTAACTCTCTGTCAACAAGTATTGCAGTTCCCCATTTTCTATATCAACATGGAATTCATCAATCTAACTAAAATAACGCTACCCGTTCGCAAAGTCGGAAAAAGTAGATAAATACATAATAATTGTAATTCAGAAAACGAAGATAGTTTCTAAATTTTGATGATATCTAGAAATTTTTTACTTGTTTAATAAGAATGTAGTTTCTAGTTGTGTTAAAAGAAAAATAATAAAATCATTTTAGGAAGTACTATTGCTCTGCACACTTTTTAATGGTTTCAAAGAAATTATGTAAACTGTCGCAAATTAGGATAGTTCACATGTTACTCGCCACTCTAGTAACAGGAACAAGCCGGTCAGTCTCTGTGGTATCGCTTTTCCTCTTCATTCGTTGAGGAAATGAACAAACGCCAAAAGTAAAAGAAGTATTGCAAAGTAGATTTTTTTCTGATCATCATCGTATTTTCAATATAATGAAATACGCCTAATTTACACTCTTTAAATTATAACATTTTAATATACCCAGTATCTACAAGAAATAGACGTTATTCGATATATTCATCATTGTCATTCTGCTACTACTATACGAAATCATTTACACCAAACAATTTATTGTCATCAATTTTATATGGAGAAATAATTAGTTATTTTAATAATTATTTTATATGTTTCTTATAAATCGTATAAATTTAAATAAATTTATCGTATATTTGAGTAAAATGTACGATATAAATAATTATGCTTTTAAGAAATTTTAGTTATATACGTTAATTCGTATTAACCACGCATTAATGAATAAGTAACGAGGTATTTGTTTACAAATGAATGTCTTTGGTAAGAGTGCATTAAATAATCAACTACTCAACACATTTCCTACAACAAGAAAAGTACAACAAAATCCGAAACCAGAAAAAATAAACTATTGGAATCTTAAAGTAAACAACCATGTTCGAATCAGACGTATTCAAGCATTTATAATGCGTGATCTAGTTGCTTATTGTTTTTAAATAAATGTAATTATATAAACAAATGGCGAAATGGCATTCTTCCTGTATTCATATGGTCATCCGACACACCACACTTCTTTGAAGTTTTAAGCTACTTTTTTTCATTACGCAACTGAAGCAGCATCTTAGCAGAGTCACGAAAGGCAATGCACGAAGAAAAGGCACTTAAGTGGCCTGCCCGCAACATAACTTCTGTCACTGGCATCTTGCGACATGTTTTTCTCAAGGAAATAGAGTAGCATGTAATGTTCCTACTCTCCTATTATGTTTCCTATTCGGAACATTCATGTAAAACAATGAATGAAATGAACATAATTTCGCTCTGAAGTATTTAAAATATTTTATTCTTATTAGTATGATAAGATTCAAACATATTAACATATATTTTGAAAGAAATGGAGCTACAATAGCACGTACTTTTTTCGCATTACTTCTAACCTTTACAATTTTCGAATATTAAGAGTTCAACGAAAATGAGACCTGCGTCACTTTTAAGCGTCCTTCGCTCTATACGAATAAAAATTGAAAGTTGGAGCTGCTTTTGAGATCTTTTTATTAACTGATTTAACTTAAAACAGAAAATTTGCCAAAACTACTCGTTAAAAAATATTTATAAGTTCTTAAAAATCTGATTTTTTGGAATAACTGTCATTTACGACGAAATCCCTATCTTTAATATTCTGTTTTTGCAATCATAGTTTTTGCAATTTTCAAAAATGTAGGGTTCTTCGAAACCGAGAGAAGCAACAAATTACCGTCTATTGTTACAGAGGGGAAGAGAAAATTTGAAGAAAAAATTGTAGTTGTTTTTGATAAAGTAATTGTTTAAAACCAACAAATTACAAGTTACGTAAACGCAAATAGTGTGAAAAAATCAGAACTAAACGAAGTACACCTATCAATAACGTAGGTGGTAATAACAACATATTGGCTAAGACCAATAACCACTTTCATTTCGTGATTTCTTCATCTACGCCTCGCACCGAATGTGATGTATTATGACGTGTCCAGCTGGCCCACCAGTCCCGTCTCCATCCCCCTTCCACCGTCTCGAGGAATTCGAGTATACCGATATCTGGCGTTGGATCAAAGACGCATCCATGACAGCAGGCGCCTCCTTCCCTACTTTAACAGAACATTACTCTGCATCTCCCTTATCACCACCAACGTACACATCCATGCCATGCTACTGTTACATCACATTTATTACAATCACCCTGTAAAAGTTAAGATTACAACATATTTTGTCCGCACTGCAATCAACGCCGACACCCTAATTGTAATGCGACCTAAAACACTCCAACTTAAACATTAAGAATAAAAAATGTTGAGATCATCAAAACAATAAATCACACCTAGAAAAGCACACAATCCCCATCCCAACAGGATTATCATCAACATAACATATATTTCCTCACAATCTAGTCTCTAGCTGACTCTTGTAACTTCGTTGTTTAGACATACTATTCCGCTATTTTTTTATCACACTTTTTTCCTTTGAAATAACCGAAGTCCATAATATTCACAAATAGTAAGGTAGGCCCTGGACGCGAATAGCATATATCATCATCATAAATAATAATAATAATAATAATAATAATAATAATAATAATAATACCTATCCGCTGGCCGAAATAGCTAAAGCAATAGTGCCCTAGTGATTTCGGACCAGAAGATCGCAGGGTCGAGTTCCGCCTCGGGCTTGGTTGTGCTGTATGTCTGATGGGTGATTCACGAAAAAAATTGTTGTAGCCTACCTATGTAGCCTTGGTGACTAATATCGGAAGGCCTACGTTAAACGTCATAACTACGAAGTGTCTAAGGGCAAAAGTGATCTTGGATATATGAGTGCGTAAAGCCATCCTTGACCCAGAGAGTATAGGCATTGGGTTCATAAATAATGAGTGAGTGTAACCCCTATCCCAATTTTCCGAAGACCTTGGATATCAAAGACTAAGTACGAAAGGAAATTATTGTCTGAGGGTGTCAAAAAAAATAGTTTGGTGATAGTAAACTATTTCTTCTTCCTCTTTCTCCTCCTCTTCAATTTTCTCTTCTACTTCTTTCTCCTTCTTTTCTTCCTCTTCGTCTTAGTTGTCTTCTTTTTTCTCCTCCTTTTCTTCCTCCACTTCATCTTGTATTTCTTCTTCATTCCATTTCCCCCTCCTTCCATTTATTCTCCCCCTTCTTCTTCTGTTTCTTCTTCTTCCCCTCTTCTTCTCCTCCTTCCTCATGATCTTATTTATTCCTTTCGTCACTCTCTTCTCCCTCTTTTCTTATTATTAATATTATTGAATATTGTTTTATTATAAGAATTATTAATATATTATTACTTGTGTTTCCTGAACATCATCTTCAACACATCGGCAACCCGTCAAGACAGTCGGTCCCCGGCGCCTGTCCAACTCCTACCCCCTCCCCGCCTCCCGAATCCCACCTCCCCCCTCACACCGCGCCGTTCCCTGGGACCCACGGGATGCTCCGTAGCGCGGCTAGGGCCCCGCGCGTTTCGCCTCCCCCCCCTTCCTCCCACACCCCGCCTTCCCCCGGCCCACAGCCGGCCGGCGGCGGCGGCGGCGGCGGCGACGAGCGACTGCGTTGGCCACACCCCGCAGCGCGCGCTCGCGCCGGCGTATAAAAGCTGCCGGGCGCCGGCGTCTGGCAGCAGTCGTCTGCACCATCTCTTCCCTCCTCCTCCACCGCCGAAGCGCGTGGCGAGTGCCCTCTCAGACATGGCGCGGAGCCAGGTAGGTTCGCACGCGTATGTGGACGTACGCGCCCGCTTTTCCCAGGCCCTGCTTTGGGAAGCAGGAAGACTCCGCCGCCGCCGAGCCGCTCCGGTTGCCCCATGCGGGCAGGCCGGCCGCCAGAGCGCAGGGCGGTGGGTGGGGTGGCGGCGTGCGCGCCAGAACAATGCGCGTCGGTCAGCGGGTGCTTGGAGCCCATTGTCCTCGCACAATTGCGCGCTCGGATACGCGTTCCAGCTAATTGCGAAGTGCTGTTTCTGTCGCCGTGGATTCGTGTTTGGTTCGCGTGCGATTTGGAGATTACTTGCCCGTCCGCTTTGTGAATCACGAATAAGAGGAACGATCGATTCTGGAAATATTAAGCGTTAATTTTTCATTCAGGACGGTTTTAAGATAATTATGTTTGTTGTTCAAATGTAAGTCTGATATCATTATGCCGTACAATGTATTTATGTTTATAAACTTACAATTTGGGGCATTTAAAAATAAGGATAGATTACTTCGTTCTTTCTGAAAAATTTCTAAACGTACCACATTCTTTGTGGAAGAAAATTTAAAATTTGAGAAACCGATATCGTAACTGAGCCGTTATTCAAAGGGATTGTTTTGATAAAGTATACGTGCGTCGCCTAGCATGTATTGGAAGATACAAAAAAGTTTTGCTCAGTTATCCGTAAACGGTGTACTCGTTGCAGTCGCAACCATTTTTTTAGGTTTAAAACCAGCCTGTTTCTATGTTTCAATAGCGAACGCAATTCCGTTGGAATGGAATCCATTTATGGTTGACGCAATGAGATTCACTTTCGAATAAGGATAGAGCACGTGAGTAACGATTGCAGGCAATACTTTTTTCTCTGTGCGGAAAAAGTTTCTTCTCATTAACAATTAACCATAAAATAATAATCGTTACAAGAGAGTAAGTTCCGAAAGAAAAATATTCTAGAACGATCTAAGATACAAATAGTTTCGCGAGTCTGATGGCGTACCACAAGGATGCTTTTTGTGCCATTGTTTTGCATCAGGAAAGATCTTAACCCTTATCTGCTTTATTTTTTAAATTTTTATTACAACATTTTATAATTTAAAAATAATTGTTTTCTTACAATTTTGAAATGCCTTTCTTGTGACACATTTTAGTATATTATGGAAAACAATATGAATTTCTAATTGCTTTACTGCAACATTTCAAGGTGAAAGTTTGAACTATTTATAGATTCATACAGCGTGCCCATACGGACACGCCAGGCAGATAAGGATTAACTTGATCTTCAAAATAAACAATTTCCATGCTAAGGGTTCGTTAAAGAATTCGGAACGAGCGCGCCCTCTGGCCGGTGCTTGCAGAAACCTTCCCTCCTGCTGGTGGCGGCCCTGATGGCGCTGCAGTCCGTGCTCGCGGATGTCGGCGCGCCGCCCTACCCGCCGCCCGGGGGCCCCGGCGGCTTCAACCCGGGCGGCTCCTACACGGCGCCCGGCGGCCCTGGCAGCTTCGGAGGCGGCCCAGGAGGGCCCGGCGGCCCCAGCGGGCCCGGAGGCTTCGGAGGCCCGGGCGGCCCCGCCAGGCCCGGAGGACCAGGAGGGCACTTCGCAGACGACGCCGGCGGCCCGGTAAGCACGCTTCATTCGGGGGCCGCTGCTGGGGGGCTGCGGGCTTCAAAGGCGTCGGGGTAGATCTGAGATCTGGAAACTTGGCATTCTGACGTTCAACTGAGATATTCGCGGAGATTTCCATGGAACACACATGTGTGAAAGTTTACCATGGGGCAGAGTTTTAGTCCGAATTTAACACACTTTGGGAAATTGGTGCTTGTTGCAACCAATGTAAGAAAATTTCACAGCAGTAAATTCTAACTAATTTTCAATATCTTGTAAATCAGAATCCACAATATTCATTGTCCTAAAAATTTGATTTTACTATGTACTACGTAATTTTTGTAGATTTAGTAAGGAGTATCTCCTATTTCCGAATTCTAACTTTGATAAAATCTAGGTCGGATTGTACTTGAACTGACTGTTCAAAGAATTAAAAATAAAGTATCAAGTTCTTACTTCCAGGGTACCTTGTTTCATTTTCACGTCGAAAACTCAAAGAAAACGCATTTTGATAGATGATTGTCATATTATAAATACTGCACTACTGCATAGTTTCAAACCGGAAATTTAAAAAAATGATATTCAATTTTCCAAGTACTTATATATTCGATTCACTGTAAAAATATGTAGGATCTCCTAAGTCTATTTTATAAAACGCGTTTTTACTTCAAAATTGAGATACAATAATGACTTTTCATGTATTATGTAGGTTTAGTGATGCTCGTTTCTAAAATATACGAGGGAAATATACTCGCGAATCTGCATGTGCCTGATCACATTAGAGCGCAATTTGTAAAGTATAAATCATTGAAGGGGGCTCTTAGAAATACGTCCATTCTTTGCATCTTACAATAAAGCCTCCTAGCGACGTATTTTGAGAGCGGGAAATCGGTATTAGTTATGTAACGTGCTTACATCTTCATTCAAAATCTTGTCCCAGTTTTCGTGTTCAAGACATTCCTACACGAAATCCTTTGTACTAGACAGCTTGAACGTAACAACCAGAGAAACCAGTCGGTGCGCGGCAAAGAGACACTTGAATCAAACTTTCTATTGAGAGGTTTGTAATTTCAAGTCGGATGATGTATCTGACAGGCTACCATTAGCAACAGATGAGAAGAAATATTTTATGTCTGCAATAACCTTTGAACGGAAATAATAAAAATGGAAGAAACTTTGTAATTCCTAAGTAAGATGATTTCATAGGAGAAATAACTTGATGACGTTTGAGCAGAAGGGATGGAATACTTGTTCAGAAAACTGAAAAGTAGATTCGTTGAAAATGGCTTGCAAGATTTTCTTTCTGTATCTAACGTACGTTATTCAATTAATACTTTTACAGTTAAATCTCGTCAATAAATCTTTCAGAAGTTGAATTGTAGTAGAAAGAAGAGAAGAATGAATTTCTTTTATCAAATATGTGTTTAAAGCGCTGTAAATTTGGTTAATGACAGGAAAGAAAACTTTAGTGTACACTTTCCATTAATTCAGAATTAACGATTAAGTCAATACGATTAGTAAGACTTCTTTCCTCGTTCGTAATGTTCAACTCCTCCTTCCAATGGCATCATCAAATAACACAATTTATAGTATACTCAAATATCAGTGGAGTTATACACGACGAACGTTTTATGAGAATACGTAACAGCTTTTTGCGAATAGTCGTAATGAACTATCTGGCGAGAGTATGATGGTAATTAAAGTTAATAGTGGTCATGTGTGGTCGAAAGAGTGTAAAGAAGGAAGAGCCATCGCGAAGAGGAAGAGTTAACAGGGAACTAGTAGATGTTCACTCTCCGAAATGAACCACGCATAGGAAGTCATTAAAGTACAATTTTCGAGCGCTGGAAAACGCCATTTCCACTACTCGATTTCCCTCTTCCAAATCAAAGAGTTTGCTAGTGCGCTCAAGGAAAGTACCAGTCTCACCGTAGCAACATTCGAAGCAGTATTACTAACCTACTTGGAAGTCGTTCCGGCCCTAGTTATGATATACTAAATGTTTTTCAGCCTTTCAGCAATTTTTTTTCTCATTATGAAAAATATCATTTTAACAATCATATCAGTTTAGTTTCACTGCCGAATCTACGTTCACATTATATAGAAATAAAATAGTTTGTTTAATGAAACACAACATAGTGTCAATATTTTTTTGCTTGGACCAACGAAAGAGGAAATGAAATTTTCGAAATCGGTGATGGGACAAAACGGTATATAACATTTCTGAACACAATCCGATAGCGAAAAGCGGTTTAAACATTAACCTTAAGTTACGTTTTCAAAAGAACATTTCCTTATTCTTGATGGGATAATAACAACCGGGCTCATCTCATTAGAAATATGGTATGAAATATTTTAATACCAAGATCATGATATCATGTAGCTGGAAGAACGAGACAAAGTTCTTTCTTGAGGAGCGAGAGGTGAATATGTTTTCGCATTCTACACCAGAATTCCGAGACTAACATACACATTACTGAATAGGATCCATTACCCTAGCGCAGACAAGTCATGCCTTCACGATCACTATTAAAGTATCTTCAGTTTCCAAACCTATGAACTCGTGGGAATGAAAGAAGAATCCTGCGGAGTTTGCACTTCCTACAGAATAGACTTTCACTGCCCCAGTGTATTTCAGGGTTCATTTCATCTCGTTGTTTACAATGTCTATGGCTAGCCTCCCGAGGCTGTCACGATACGATCGCCTTCTTTCTCTCCCGAGAGCTGGGAAACGCCGACGCGGGCCGCGGACGCTGCGCCGCCGCTGACAAAAGACGCGCCATCTGCGCCCCGCGCTTCCGGGCGGCACGCGCGATTGTTCTGCGCCGCCCGCGGGCGACGGCCCGCCAATCTACGCGGCCGTTCCGTCATCGTTCGTCGCGAGCGGTGACCCAAGGGCGGAGAGACGCGTTGATGGGGGCGACGCGCAGTGGGCCGAAATCGTACCAACGAAGCGCATAACGGTTCTTTTAACTTTCTCACCCTTTCAAAGGTTCTTCGTAAGGGGAGATCGTGCACCGGAAACCGCCGATTTATCAGCAGAAAAACTCTTATTATAGGGCCAAAGTAACTGAAAAGTGTATAAATCCAGTTGCTAAATATAGACAAAAATTCTCTAACATGCGGTTTGCCAGAATCCATATTGCGAGTCCTTAATAACGAAAGATCGATTGAAGTCAAAACGTTTATCCGTCTGTGGTCAACGCTAGCGTCTAAACCGTACAGCCGATTTATTTCAAAATTGATATTGCACGATTGATCGGAACGAACGTATAATATAGGGTATAAGTTGGAAACCATGCAAGAAAATATGTGCTTTTGAAGCACCACCCGTGTCCTTTTGATATGGTTAATATTTTTTGCAACCGAGCGCGTTAAATACGATTGTTCCCGTAAGATTAGTGCATGTAATATCAATGAGATGGCAGTGATCCTTCCCCGCTGGAATGTGAGATCAGGGACCAACATTGCGTCGGCTTGCGAGGTATTTCTCCCTCCAGGTATCTCCCCATTGGGACATCGCTCCCATCGGGATAAGCTCTAAGTTTCTATCTGATCTACCGACGTATGTGGTAGTGCAGTGAGTGTAATTGTGTGTATATAATTATTTGTGCGTATGTACGTGCACGTGTAATGGGAGACGAAAGGATGAGAGAACGATTTCGCTGTTCCTGGGTCTGGAACGTTTGTTAGGGAGGTACCCCATGATTCGGTTAGTTTTGATCAGAGGGATTTGGTCCCTGATCACGAAAAACTGCCGGTCAAGCAGCCGGTCGCTGAAATTCTCCTCCAAATTGTATTTGAATACCTGACTTATATATCTTTGCACTTTTCGGTCACTTCAGACATCCCCTTCCCCAGTTGAAACTTATTACTCCAAGTGCGGCCATCGTGATAATTACGCATTCGCATTCTTAGGGTCCTTGTAGCTTGTAAGGCAATATCGGACGTTGTATCTACTTCATAGGAAAGCGCCGCTCGGGAGCCAACCTGTTTTAAAGGAAAGCAGCCAGACTACACCTAGATGACGCTACGACTCGTACACCCCTACGTCGCGCATCTGCTCTTATCCCCTGCTCACACACTTCTCCAGGGAAGGGGAGAGATTTTTAGGGTCAAGGGAGCTACATTACGTGCTAGGAATGCATATCAATCCACATTACACAACGTCAGTGCCGTATGCGGGATTCGACCTCACAGCCTGGATGTAACACGTACTTGGCCGCAAATAGCCCCAGTCCCTTCCTTCTCAAACCGGCCAGGATTGCAAGATTATCCTTTTTGGTAGGGGTAACCTCACCACACCGTAACACAAGCAACAAGGCATGCCCGAGGCGGGATTAGAACCCGCGACCCTTCGAACCGGCATTTCCGCCTTCGTGATCTCGGCTACTCACGTCGACAATTATTCATCGTTGATAAATCATCATAAATTAATTATTCATTGATCTGTTTTGCCCTGAGCGCGTTGTGCCCACTTGGGCCCAGTGTGCAACGGCGCGAAGCCGGTGGCAGCGCCGGAGAAAGTGACGGAGGCGGGGGGGGGGGGCAGCGTTGCGGCGGGAGGGTTCGTCGGCGTCGGATCCCGGGGGAGGCGCCCGCTTGGGCAGGAAGAGCTAGCGGGGCGCGCCTCGGCGGGTCGGCCAGGGGCTCCGAGGGCAGGCTCTGTGTGCGCCGGGGCCGCTGCCCGCCTAACGACTTGGTTACATATTTTAGGTGGTGGTCGTTGCTGACGTCACGGGTGTTGGATAATGGTGGCGGACCTCGCCAGTGCGAAATGAAAGAGATTTCTTTCGAAATGAAAAACCAAAAATTCCTTTTTTTAGTTTATGGGGAAATTTTCACGTAATTTAAATTTCTGCTACTTTGGCATTATTGGAAAAAGTTATTCGTTTTAACAATACCATTATGCAGGTTAGGAATATTATATATGGAAAGTCGATTAGATGAGTTTACACAACACCTTGTGACTGCGTGATAATCAATACATTTCAATACGTCTCTAAACTGTGAGA